AAAGAAGCTCCTCCAAGAGTACTCCTAAAGGTGGAGTGCAATTTTTAAAGCCTGAAGTGCTTTTGTGTAACTTTTTTGCTTGCTGCTACCTTCAGTTTTGTCCCCATCCCTCAGACTGAACAGTCTTTAATCATTCCTGGGTTGTCTGAGCAGCATGTTGTTGCATTCATCTTTAGGCTGCTGTAAACATGCCCTCTTGTGGCTATAGGACTTGGTTGCCATGAGTTATGGTGAAAACTGTTTCCACCCCAGCTCAGCCTGATGGTTTTAAGTGGTTACTGCTTGTAGCCTTGCTGAGATTTGTCTCACTTCCCCACAGCACTGCCTCATTTACAGTGAAAAAAGGAAGTTCTGTGAGTCTTCTCTTTGTACTAACAGACCTTTTAGATAAAACTTTGATTTAGAAAGATCTGGGATTAATCAAGCTGTTTTCTTTTGTTTTGCATTGGCTTATAAAAGTAAACTTTTCTTTCCTCTGTTATAACAAAAAAATACTTTTGTATTCAAACCAGCATGCTCCAGAAACATAAATTAAAGGCTTGATTTATATGACTTCTGGACTTACTTTTCCTCTATGAATACTTAGTCCTAATCCAGTCCAGTCTATGGTGAGTGGTTTTGTTTGTAACTTCAATAACTTTCCTGGCAGCAGCTGACTTAAGTGTTTTTTAAAATTCTATTTTAAAAGGTAATAGCAGGCAGATAGAATAGACTACCTATTTTGGTATTTTTATAGGTAGCTAAAGAAGCTTCCTAGTCCTTTAGTATATGACTTCAAACTTCTAATTTTCATTTTGAAAGGTGCAATGTGATTTTTATATAGATCTCTATATATTCTGGTTCAAGTCATGACTATGAAACAGGTATGTTTTTCCCAGAAAATATGGAAGGAACGCCATTAATATTATCTTTTGTTTGCTTGGGGAAGAAGTATAAAAGCCTCATACCGGAAGAAATAGTCCTGGTTTTGTAAGATTTTAGAGAACAAGAGGAAGTTTTATAAACATTTGGGTTTTAATTTGGAACAAAAATAGTATGGCTCAGAAGTGAACTCTGCAAACCTGACGTTCCAGTTGTGTAACACTAGCCTTTGGCACAGCATATCATCTTGCTCTCTTGGCTTCCCTGTCTACCAAAGGCTCACTTGTTTGGCTACTTGCTTTGGAACAGAACTAGAGGCCACTCTGAAACACCTTGGGAAAAGTGTACTCTGCTTACTGGCTTGCTTTCCTCTCCCTTTTTCCTTCCCAGAATTGTGACAGTGCTGTGTAAAGTGACTTCCTGAGGTGGTGGTACGTTCCTCAGCGGCTGTGGATGCTGGGCTCTCCAGCTGGCCAGGGCCAGGCAGACAGCTGGCAGGAGTATCTTAGCTATGCAGCAGCTCTAAAAAGCATTGACTTGATCTGCCCTTTAGAAGGAAAAAAAACAAGTACCTCACCCTAGTGACATGGGTTGGTCTGTGCTGGCTTGGGGTTGAAGGATCTGTGAGAGTTACTCTTAAGTGCAGTACTCTTCATGCAGGACTGTTCTGCCAGGGATCACTTGCCTCTTTGATTAGCCTGGGTTCATGGGAATAGCCTGGTGACAGATTCATGCCCAAGGGCAGTCCTCCCTGTTCTTCAGGGCAGTGGCAAGTACTGGTTGTTTCCTCCTAGGCTAAGGAAGGAACAGTCTGGATTTTTCTATATGCTTAAGACTTTGATTGTATTTTGTAGAATACAGAGTATATGCTTTTCAGGACATGGTTGTCATGGTAGGGTTAGGCTGGTGGCTGGACTTGATCTTAGAGGTCTTTTTCAACCTTTATGATTCTTTGATTTTTTCCTGGGTCAAAGAAAAAAAAGCTGCTTTTTTTTCTCTCCAGTTTGTGATATCTAGAGCTCCGTTTAGCCTTCAGTAGCTCCAGACTTGTCTGGATTTCATCAGTTAATACCTGGTTGTGCTTTAATGCTGCTCCATCCTACAACTTTGTAAATAAGTTGTGTATTTCCTAGAGATTCTTCGAGCTTCAGTAGGTGGTGAGCACAGTGGAATTCAAAACTTGTGGAGATGATGTTCTCACTATACATTTACAGCAAACTTAGAATGATGCTTTGACAGAGGTGATGCTACAGGAGATAATTTGCAAGAATGCATTTTTGCAAAAATTGCACATTTATTAAACTTAGTCTTTTAAGCTCTGAGCCCTTGTGAACTAGTGGAGTTCCTCTTCACCAGTTGTTTTCAGGAAAAACTACTTTCCTTTTGTGGTACCTGACTTCATTCCTCTCTGTCCCTTCCCCAGTTAAGAATGATGATAATACTGGAGAGATGTGGCTCAGCTGCACACTTGCACCTGGGTTTGGCCAGAGTTGTGGCCTGGTGTTATCAGGTAGCCTGGCAGCTGTTGTGACACAAACCGTGGCACGCCAGCTCCCGACTGTTGCAAGCCCACCTCTCAGTGGGTAGTTCCACTGTGGCCTTCAGAAGGGCAACTCACTATGGAGAGGAGACACACTGAGGTTGAAAGGCTTTCAGTGGCAACTAGGAAGGCTGGGCTTCTGGTCAGGGGTTTGGGCTGTGATTTGTGAGGTGTGGATTCATCGTGCATGTTCCTGCAGTCTCTGTGCCCTTCGGCAAGTTGATAATCCTCAGAGTGCCCTTTATAACCGGTGTGATATTCCCGACTGTCCCCCTGAGGAGCCTCCTTCCTCTTGGAGGAAGATCCTCTGAAATCAGTCTGATTATCACTCAGCTGTTGTCTCAGGAAAAGCAGCAGATGGGCATGACGACATCTATGTAGATGAACCAAAATTAAATCGCATCAGGTTATTTTTATCATACAGCACAGTATTTTTAATAAAATAAAAATGATTCAGCTGGTAACATTTGTCATGGCTCCTAAGTGAGTACGCACAAACCAAGAAATAAAAGCACTGAAGTATTATGCATGTTGGAAATGGTTGGTGCCACTGTTGCCAAAATGTGTGATGGTTGTAAGATCCCAGGCTCTTGGTTATTCTGCCTCCACGGCAGACAAGATGTGGAGAACTCTGAGCACATGAAGCCTTTCCGTGGCCATTTGTATATGCTGAATGCTGCACTGGAGCTCCTCTGTGACCAGTGGCTATTTTGATCTCGTTGCCAGCTGGCTGGCTTTTTTGGGCGTCTGCAGAGGGAGAGGGCACCTCTATACTGGCTGGCTGGGCTTTTAATTAGCACTTATTAGGAGCGTGTGTCTGGCTGCTCCTGCTGCAAGGAAGGTGAACTGGTGCCTTAATGAGGATGGGCCATCCATTCTTGCTGTGGTGGAGTGGAGTAATTGAGTTGAAGTATTCCCTTCCCTGATTCTGGAAGTCTTTTCAGCTGGTTGATAGCTTAAGGCAAAGCTAATGGAAGGAAACAGGAAGACAAAAAGCTTATTTATTATCTTTCAAAGGGTGGCAATGGATGCAGGAGAAGGCTATGAGCATGTGTTCTGAAGCCAGCAAAAAGCAAAGGAAAAAACCTGACTAAACCTTGCTCTTCACTTGGGGTTCTTAGATTCTGTATGCTTTTCAGCTCAGACATTTAAATTAATTTCTATTTTTAAAGCCATGTGTTCTGCACAGGAAAAATGTAGCCAGTGATTGCAAATAGTAATGGGACTTTTTGTTGCTTGTCACTGTAGGAAGCTATTTATGAACATAAAAAATAGAAGGAAGAGAAGACATGAGTGCAGCATAACTCCATTCCTGATTTAAAGGCTCAACTGTAGAATAAGCTTAGGTTTTTTCCAAGTGTACTGGATAAATGAAATTGAACTAAATTAACATGGAAATGCATCTTTCTGATGGAGCGGTTTTTACTTGGGGATGGTTTGGAGGAAGCAATCAAACCAGTGGATGTTCTGATTCAAATGTGTTATTCAGATGGAGTTCAGACCATCGTTCTGGTGAGGTGACCCCAAACTCATCTGCCTAGCAAGAAGGATTTAAAAATAGAAAGGTTCACTGCATGAGGTCTTCCAAGGGAGAGGCTTTAGCTCTGGTTTTCTGTTTTCCTGCTGGAACCCAGGCAGTACTCATGTTCCTGTGGCTTCTTTCCAACTCCAAAATTTGGCACATGGTGTTCAGCTGGAAGGATGCACTAACACAGCACTGTGTGGCTTTGAAAGTGATGCTAATGCTGGGGGAGGAGGAGCAGCAAAGGGGAAGAGAAATGAACAGGGGAAAGGCTTCAGCCTCTCCTTTTGCTCTCTGCCTTTGTTCCTTCTCTGTGGCACCTGCACGCACAAATATGCACATATTAAGGCACAACTGTGGGTTTCTGTGGAGCTGCTCAGATTTAAAAAAGAAATGAAAATGCAAAGGGCATTTTAGCACCTTCAGTGTGAAAAGGTGGGATTTTTAGTGATGTTTCTGGTTCTCATTCTTCTGTAAGCAGGACTTGTTAGGGTGTGCAGGGCCGTGTATCATGATGCAGAGTGAAGTCTAACACTATATGTGGTGTTGGGGAGAAAAAAGGTATTGTGTGATCCTCCCCTGCCAACACCAGCAGAGTTCTGTGAACTACACCACGGGCCCCTCTACAAGGGATAAGGATTTTGTCTCCAGTACTTGAACCATAGCAATAACTAGAAAGGCAGATTTTTGCAAATTTGCAGGTTCAACAACATAAGGCTTTGCTTCTGTTCAAGAACTTTAGTTGCTCACTTAATGAAAACTCAATATCCAAACTAAAACCTGTTTTCCAGGTATTAATCTGTTCTATTGCCCCCTTTTCTGAAAATTTCATTTTTGAAAGAGTAGAAGACCTATAAATGTTTGGTTTGAATGTGTTTTTATTTCAGTTGCAATGTATTGATAAGTAGGATGGGAAAGTGACAGCAGCAGAAGAGTAATTGTGCTGAAATTACTGTGTTACTGTTATGGCCTGAGACTGGTGATAATTGTTTTCATGGGAATGCTTTTTGGTAGTTTCCAAGATTCATGTTTTCATGTGCCATGTAACAATTCAAAAAAAACTTTCTTCTTTGCTAGGTGATCTTTGGAGCTACGACTTCTACAGTGGTGAATTTGTTGTGTCTCCTGAACCTGACACTAGTGTGCACACCATTGATCCCCAGAAGCACAAATATATTATCCTTGGCAGTGATGGACTGTGGAACATGATCCCACCTCAAGATGCTATCTCCATGTGCCAGGATCACGAGGAGAAGAAATACTTCATGGTGAGAGCAGTGGGTAGAAGTCATGGTGGAATTTAATTCTTAATTTTCCTCTAAAGATTACTTAGTCTGGTATGTATGGAAAGTACCTTTGGTGGCTAGACATCTTCATAGCTTTGCTGCAACATGTAAGTTTTTACAATGTGGCAACGTTGTTTAAATGTTGTTGAAATGATTTGGACGATGTTTTTTTGAAATTTGACTACCAGGATGGTGTCTGTGAGTAATGAAGAAGATAACATGTTCCTTTGCTAAAGAAGTTATACAAAATATTGTCTGAAACTAATGTGCATATTAATGTGAAATAAGTTTCAATGCGGCCAATTGGATTTTTTTTACAGTATTTGTGCAAAGTCTGAATTAAATTCTTCTGTGGTTTACTTTATAAAGGAGTTGAGAAATTTTGTCATGGAGTATCTGAGCATCAGATAGTAAATAGTCTGTAAACCCCTTGAGAGACATTTGGAAAGGCCACAGGATGTGCTAAACCCAGGCTATTTGTGCAGTCATTGCATCAGTTTGATGACCTAAAGTGCTGGTACATACATGGATTCTGTGGTAAACTGACTTGAAAGTTTTATTTCACTAAAAAGACAGACATGTTTCAATTAATATTTCCTTGTGTTTCTAAATCAAGCTACTTGAGCACATGATATATAGGAATACATATCTCAGGCTCTGCTGCCTAAACTGTCCATCTCCTGTTTGTAAAAAGTGGACCTGATTGCTTTCCCTGTCCCTTCTGGCACGCAGGGGGAGCACCGCCAGTCCTGTGCCAAAATGCTGGTGAGCAGGGCGCTGGGCCGCTGGAGGCAGCGCATGCTCCGTGCAGACAACACCAGTGCCATCGTCATCTGCATCTCGCCAGTGCAGGACAGCAAAAGCAACTTGGAAAATGAAGAAGAATTGTATCTCAACCTGGCAGAGAGCCCCTCCTACAGCAGTCCCGACGCGAATGTCACGACGCCCTCCCGCTGCTGTACCCCCCCTGTCAAGGTAACGGCTTTCTTCAGTCTTTCAGATACTCCCCTTTGGAGTGTGGAGCCCATTAAATGTGTAGTGGTCTCTCTTTTCTTCTCTAGTAGAGATTTCTCTTTATGCAGCTCATGCTGATGTGTAGGATTGGGTCAGTGCTGTAGTCAGACCATTGCCAGTGATGGAAGTAATACCTTCAGAAACCACTGGCCTGTCAGATTGAACCACCATTTAAGGTTGCTTCTTGCTGGCCTAGGCAGTATGCAAAGTGGCTAGATGATACATTTCAGCTGTGGGACAGTAACTTGACAGCAATTACCTGGCCATATCCTCAACACTTCCATGACCAAAGCTTTGGAGAAACAGATGAACTTCTAACAATGTTTCTTAAAAGACTTTGGGACACCAAAGATGGAGTATTAAATTATGAACTTGTGAAAATGTTGAATTTAGGGAAACAGTGTTTCTGTAACTCTTAAAATCCTGATCAGTTATTAATGTTTTTCTATCCAGATTATCTCCTTAATCTGGAAGAGATTACTGTGAATTCAGCCATACAGTTCACACACCTTTAAACACACTGTTTATTAAAAGTAAGCTGTCTGAGATCCCCTCCCAAAATCAGATATAGGATCAGAGGTTTACAAAATAAAACCAGACATCCCATTAGAGAATACGGTTGGGTTACAGTTTCTTTTTCCCACCTTGCCATGGCTTGTTCAGCTGATGAGTTGCAGACTGCTTGTGGATATGTTCTTGATCTTGGTGAGGTTTGGTGTATGTTGTTTTTTTTCTAAGGTAACCCATGGGTTAATGTAGCTGTTCAGCTGATGAGTTGCAGACTGCTTATGGATATGTTCTTGATCTTGGTGGGGTTTGGTGTATGTTGTTTTTTTTTCTAAGGTAACCTATGGGTTAATGTAGTCAAACACACATTGTTGTAAAGAATGTTTTCTTTCTGGATTGAGAGGTAGTACTGTCTCCCTCTGGTTGATTTAGTGTTTTTTGTTAGAGGAAAAGACATTATAATACGAGGTCTTCCTTCAGGTTAGAAGTTTTAACCACTAACATAAAGCAGAACTGCTCAGAAGCTTTTTTTTTTGCTTCTAAGAACTGGAGCATACTTAAAAGTGGATGTTTGTTTCAGTAATTACCAGCTGCTCCTGATTTAAGTAGCTGTTCTTTGATGTTCTGCAGTATCTTTGGATAACTGTCCTTTGGGCAAAGTAAAGAGAAAGCAAAAATTAGAAAGAGAGCCTTTAACATTCCCTTAGTAGAAACAAGCTGTTAATAAAACGGTAAGCTCAAACTTTTTGCCTCCTTCCCTTCCATCCAGTGTAGCAAAACATGTGGAAAGAGCTTAAAATCTAGCAAAATCTTGAGCGGATAAAAATTATTTGAACTCTAACTTCTCCTAAAACTTATTTTTCATTAAAAGTACTAATGTAGCACAGGTTTCTGCTTTAATAAGTCAGCCAATTGTCCTCACAGAATACCTGCAAATATCGGAAGAAAAGAAGTTTGAGAAGAAAGTTGCAAGGAACAGAGACGGGAAAGGAGCACTGTATCCTCGGAATAATTTTGAAATATTTGAGAAAAAAGCAAATCTTTTGAGGCAGATCACAATAAATAAATGTCTTAGCAGTTTTATCTCTCTCCATGTACATTTTATTGAAAAACAAGAGCTGTGTAGTTATCTGTATTGGGTAACCACACCATCCTGAGTAATGCTATCTTTTTATGAAAAAGATAAGTACAGAGAGCTTTATTACTTAGATATGAACCACGATAGAGGGAAAAATGTGTTTCCATAAACTTGGGCTACGTGAAGCATGGACTGTGGGCTTCTCCTTTATTTAGCCTTCATGCGAGCCTTCCAGGTAACATTCAGTGTGTGCAGCAGTGCTCTTGGCTCCATGTTTTCTCTAAAATGAAGATGATTAATCCCCATTCTGTTGATTACACAAAAAATACAACAGTGGATGAAAATACCTGTTTGAAAAACTACATAAATACCTTGATACATAAAGCTGCAGGTAAATGTGATCTTATTTAGGTCAGTAATTAATCTTCCTACAAAATTACTGTTCAACTTTACTGGAAAGGGATCACCACAGTTTCAGATCAGTTCAGGTCAGTCTGAACTCCTGGAGAATGTGGTGGGATTAGAGCCCAGAGAGGACAGGTCAGTGACACCGAGATGTGGCAAAGGGAAGGAACTTGCCTGTTGTCTTCAGAGAGCTGAAGGAAGCACAGACAGCCTTGGCTCTTAGTAGCTGCTACCTTCTAAAACAATTAGTTTGGAAATAGATGGAGACCAAATCAAAGTTTCTCAATTAAACAGAAGTATTTCTTAATTGCATATCCTTCTGGCAACAATTGCTAGAAGCGAATTAATTTGAGTTGATTCCTGAAGCCAGCGATAAAATTTGATTTATTAGATTGTTGAGAGATGAAATTGGCAACTGATGATTTATTTCTTGTTTTGTTACACCACTCTTCAGCAGTCCATCCTCTGACCTCATTTGGCTTCCCAAAGCCTTATCCCATCTCAGCTATTCATGCCAAACAAAAGATGTTGGCAGTAAGAGCCACAGTGTTAAGCATCTTGCACAATAAAAAAATAAAACCTTAGTCATGGCTGGAGAGACAATTTCAAATAATAAAATAGAGCAGATGAAGTAACGCTGCCAGAGCTGCTGGGTGTGTCATCTAGTGTTCTTAGGGGTTCTGCAAGAACAGTCTTGATGAGTAACCTCTGAAACACCATGGAGAAAGTTCTTCCCTCTTGTGTTGTTATATATACTAAAAGAATATTATCTAAATGGTTCCAGCTATGCATGGGGAGCAACAGAGGGGAGTAGAAGGGAGTGGAAAACCAAATCTAGATGCTAGAAGCAATTCTGATTATTTTCTTTTTTGGAGTGCATTTTATTAAACTTAGTATTAGATTCTTCCCAAGTGCTGAGCAGTCACAGAGCTCTTGAAGGTGATCTGAAGTTGTTCTGGATTGTGACTTCAAGAGCATCTATTTATTCATCTGAGATGGACTCACTCAGATTCAGCTGTGTGTGCATTTGAGCTTTCAGCATGTTATTTTCTTAAAATAGTTATTGTAATTTGCCTTACACTGATGGTATGTGGAGTTATGTGGCCTTGAAATTTATTTTTGAAGGACTTGCTGAGTAACTAGGGATTTCTTCACAATTAAATCTTTAATAAGGTCCTAATTCCTATCTTCAGGGCACTGCATAAATAATCACTTTTGTGATCCCCCTGTGGCTGGTGAAAGCAAATATTGTCCCCATTTTCCTGCTGGTAAAACTGAGAATGAGGCAGAAAGACCTACCAAAGGCTGCAGAAGAGTAGCTGGAAGTGGGGTTGGAGTTCAGGAAGTTCCTGGTTCTTGGGGGGGATGGTCTAGTGGGATTGGAGTCCATGTCTCAGACATTCACTAAGGAAGATTGGTCGGCATTCAAACTCATGGGCAACTTCTGGAGTGGCACTGGGGACACAGGAGCTGGCAGATGTGGCAGGGGTGGTGTGGTGCTTTTATGGTGCTGGGCCTCTGCTAGCTGGTGGGAGGAGGCCTGGCCTGTGCATGGCAGCTCCTGGCCCATTTCCAGAAGGTTCTGGAAGCACAGACTGTGCATGATGGGTAATTAACATGGGGGCTGAGAGCTCACCCAGAGGAGGGGGGCTGACTATAAAAGGGAGTGAGATCAATGCTGGACCCAGGAGCAGTGAACTCTATTTTCTGTCTTGTCTTTATCTTGTACTCTCTCTTCTTCTCTATTTCCTGTTGTGTACTGTAAGCTTTGAACCACTAGATACTGCAAGGGTTTGAGCATGTGGTTATTTTGCCAATATTGTTGATTCACCTGAAGTTATTTGCATACCACACCTAAAGTTACTTTCTGATCATGCGATACGGTTGTTAGCACCTAAAACTTTCTTATCCCACCAATATTGTTCTTATCAAATAAACTATGTGTGTTGAAGGCTCTCTGGTGTCTCTTCACCTTAATCCTGAGCTGGGAATTGGTGAACCTGAGTCATGGTCCTGACTAATTGGGGCGTGACATCAGGACATCATGTTAAGCAGCTCCCTGTCAACGTACAGAGTGCGTGTGCTTCACAGAGAGCGGGTAGATGTGCTCTGAGGAACAGAGTTGCTTCTTTTCCAAGTTGTAGAGCATAGAACCAGGCAATAAAACATCTTGCTTCACACAGCAGAGGGTAACACTGGGTTTAGGAGCTCCACCTTCCTGTTTGCAATCAGGACACCGATGATGAAGGGTTTGTCAATCTCCCGGATAATCCGGTTATGCAGTAACTAAGAATTCTAAATGTAACAAAGGTCAGAAGAGCTTCTTCTCTTTGCCCTGCGAGCTCTTGGCCATCTGATGTGTGGGATCCTCAGAAGGCAGCACAGGTGTGCACATGACAGTGCCTGAAGGAGGGAGGTTGTGTTTGCATGTTGGAAGCTGCTGCTGCTGGCACTGTGTTCTCCGTGGCTCCCTGCCATGGGTCTGCCAGCAGATGTGTGGGGGTTCCTCCCTTTCCAGGTGTGTGGGTGGGGTAACTCCAAAGGGTCCTTGGGATGAGAAGATGACGTGTCTGCCCCAGCACAAGACACTGTCAGGCTGGATGACTGAAATGAGGGTGGTGCACAATAGGTACCAACTTCAGATCTGCATCCAGAGTGTGGTTCGGTCTTTCAGTGTAGAGAAAAGAGAATTCCGTTTTGGAGTAGGATTTTTCTTTGCCTGATGGAGTTCAGAGCAGTTCTGTCACATGTCTACACCCCCAAAGGATAATGCAGGTGAAATCATTGTATCTGTGCTTAGTTTGTTTTTCTTTTTTCTCCCTCAGCTTTTAGAAGATGATCCCTGGCCACGACTGAATGCTTCTGAGCCTATTCCTCCCCTCGTGCACAGCAACGCAATCTCAGAAAAATACTTGGAGCTGCCAAACGAGATTGCCAAAAGCAATTTACCCTCATCAGGAGCAGTCCCGAAGGATTCGGGCCCGCAGGAGGAGAAGGGCGGCAAAGCACTGGCGCTGAGGATACACGAGTCCTACAGTAATGGTTTGTCAGTCAGCCTCTCCCCTTCCAACTCCTCAAATTCAGGCACGGACCAAAAAGGCTTCAAGGCGTCTCCTAATGGCCAAACAAAAGCCCAAGATGCAGAGAGGACACCCACAGCAAACTTTAAAAGGACATTGGAAGAATCCAACTCT